GGGTTGTTTGACTGCGGAGGAAGATTTTACCATGTGACTTACTTATCTGATTCATCAGATCAGCTTGCCGTAACATAGAGGTTGATGAATTTGTCGTATGTTTTACTTATAAAATTTAGGAAGTAACGAATGCTTAAAAACAAATTGAGTATTATAATATTAATAATAGCCTCCACTATCCAGAAAATATCGTTGTGTAGTACTAACAAATCTGGCAATTATTTATGATTACCAACCGTACATGCATCAGGCTTTTGTTTCCCAAGCTAGTAGTGTATCAGCCCCGCAATTCAAAATAAATAGTTTCTAAATTGGGGGGTACCCCTAAATTGGGTAATGTACAATTGTACTTGCCCCGCCCCATTGAATCACTTCTATTTCTGAAAGAAAAGCAAGAATGAAAGATCATAATAATAAATACGGGACTTACCTGACAAGCTTTGCGTCGGTTTTTGGTCAGAATTCACATGCAACAGGTCACAATTGCAAGCAAGTGACGAACTCTCACTCCAATGGCAAACACTAATGAGCAAGATCGACGACCCAATGAACACCAGAGACAGTTAGAAAACCGTATCAAAAAAGGTGATCTTAGGTGCTACTCGCAAAGCGACATTGATAAGAGCCATGTAGCTGTGGATGCTGGCGGATGTGGTATAATATACAAGGCAATAATGAAGATCTCTGGAAAGCATGTCGCAATAAAAAAGCTGCGTCGCCGTCCGTACGAAGATAAGAGCACAGTATACAAAATGCTCGCAAAAGAGGTTGGTGTTGACTTTTTTGCCGTCCACTGTCGTATATAGGTTTTATTATATACATACATATATAAGTAATCATTCTGTACGATAATTATTACTAGGTGAAAAACCACCACAAGTTAACCGGCCATCCAAATATTATCGATTTTTTGGGTTTGTGTAAGTTATCTATATCGTTATATATTATAATCTTGATCTCTGTACATGACTTATGCATTTCTAATTATAAAGATAAAGAGGAAGGTGAGGACGACGACTATTGTAGCTATTGCATGGTTTTTGCATACGCCGATGGCGGCCCCTTGCATAAGTACTTAGAAGACCATTCTAATCGGCTAACGTGGTGTGATAAGTATAAACTGGCCTTGGCAATCACCAATGGTTTGAAGTACATGCATGATCACGACATCATCCACAAGGATCTGGTAATGTGTCAATTATATATATTGATTATCATCTATTTAATGATTGTAAGCTAACAGTGCCATGGGTATTAAATTTACAGACGTCTTCCAATATTCTTGTCAAGAATGGCATTGTAAAAATAGCCGACTTTGGTCTATCGAGACACATCATATCTTCATCGATAGGAAGCGGCGCTGAATCGTACAAAGATCCCCAATCATTCACAAGCCAAGAGTACAGATTTGTAAAAGAGTCAGATATATTCAGCCTTGGGGTTGTGTTGTGGGAGATTTCTAGTCGAAAGAAACCTTGTGAAGGATGTACTAACAGCGGTCAAGTTGTTTGTCAAAGACTGCGCGGATATCGCGATCCTCGCGCTCCTGGAACACCTGAAGCTTATTTTGAACTATATTCAGAATGTTGGGATGAAATCCCCAAGCAACGGCCAAAAGTGAAGCAAGTATACGAACGATTAGAATCATTATTGAACAATTCTCAGAATCCGCTAGGCGATACACCAGATCACATATCAGTTTTCTTTGATGAACCTGAACGCAATCGAATGGATGCCCCTGTAAATGCTCCTCCATCAAGTGACTACCAGCCGTATTTAAAATTGGATTGGATTCGACATGTGGGAATAACGGCATTCGAAAAAATTCTCAAACCAAATTACGATTCGGTATGGAGCCAATTAGATCGGATCAAGACGGAATTTCTGGAATCAAATCCGTGCCTCTGCCGATTGTATAATATCTTGACAAATGCTCTAAAATCTGATGACCCTCTCAACTCGCTATATGTTGCACTTGGTAAAGAAGCAAAAGAAATTGTAGAATCAAACACGTTTGAACGTTATTTATACGATGTAGTGGTAACAGTTGTAGAGGTTCTAGTGGAGGTTCAAACAATGCTTTCTTTCTAAATCAGCTATTATTGTGTAGAGTAGGTGTATTAATAAGGACAATATTTGGGAGGCCGGTCCACCCCTCGTGTGATTATAATTACTGTAACATTTTGTATAATACTAATTTAAGACGATCGATTTTATTAATAACAAAGCCACAGTTTTCAAGATTGGCAATTGCCTTTGAAATAATATCTTTCCTTTGCCAAAAAAAGTCACGTGTTACTTGATAACCTTCGTTGTGTTGTTAAAGGAATCAATCAATATACATAACCCTGACGATTTAAACTCTTCATTGCAAACTTCAACCCAAAAAAGGCGTTCAGTTTTCGCACAGATTTTGATTCTACCGCCATATTGTTGCGCATTTAATTAAAAAATGTTAAATGTTTTTGCTTGTCAAGTTGTTTCTCAAAACGGTGTTACTTTCTTTTTACCTAAAATGTCAATTATTTTAAAGTTACGTAAATAATCATAAAGTTTGGCGATTTATATTGGTTTTCTTTGTTGTATTGCGTAGGATTCTACTGATAATGGCTTCTGTTATTCTGTGCTTCAGTAACGAATAGTCAGAGATTCGACATGCTTTCGATTATCCTTTTGCGAAATACCTTCTCTTTTACAAATGAAAAACTAATTGTCAGACAGCTGTTGGTTGACAAAGCACATTGGCAGCAAAAAACTAAGCAATTAAGACAGTAAGCCGTTTCAAGAGATAACAAATTTCACATACACATTGTTCGAAAAGCGCTCAGTTTACAGACTCAACCGATGTCAAATAATAATACCATTCACCCGCTAACCAAGATATCGAATATACCACGTAAATATACAGTACGTGGGTATCATTACTCTCATTTATGTATCTTTTTTAGTACTAAAACATGCTTTAATTAATTTTTATATTACTAAATAGCGAGTAAACGTTGCATCGGTATATGTAAAATTTGCTTCAAAGCCACAACATTACAAGTGATGCTAGTGAAATTATCCCTATATTGTTACTGTAAATGCAAGATTATGTATTATCCACGTTAATATACTTTTCAATCTATACTAAATGTTATTATTGTAAAGTACGTATATTTAAACCCAACTTTTGATTCAGTATAGAAGAGAAAAAAACGGAGTTTATTTTAATTTAGCATTAGAAATATAATAAATATGACTAACGTCTTAAGAATCTAGTTATTAGCATTATTTTCAATAATAAACAGATAATAACATGCCACCTATGCTCGTTTTTAATTGATGTTGGTTATAAATATTAAAAATTGATAACGGTAAAATTACTGTATATTGTAACAAAAATTACGACAAATTATCTTAACGGAGTTTAGATTTGTACTACTGCTACACACGCCGTGAACAGATTGATCTTGTAGATTTTGCTACCCCTGATTTACGCAAGCAAGCTGTAAGTAAGAGATTTGTTAGAAACTTGTACACAATTTTATTAGCTTACCAAGCGTATTGGTGACAAGACAAATACATGTCATTCTCATTATATATTTTTTCCTGCATATATTGTCAACCTTTTTTAATTTTTTTTTTCTGATGCGTCAAGCCATTCTTTTCCTAACTTATTTTTTACATTCACCTTTTTATTCGTTTATCGTGTGAATATGCACCCCACCCAAGGTTAGAAGGATGCTTTACAGCAACCCTCTTTTTTTTTAATCATACTTTTACCGCATGTTGCTATATTGTCATGCTAAGAGAAAATTGCAAACAAATTAGTCTTAAGAACGCGATTAAAAATTTAACAATCATGCCTTTGTTGCACCGAAATATACCGTATATCCCACAAATTTGATACTGTCAACTTTACTATTTGCAACTCAAAATAAAAAGTTATAAAAAAAATCTGGTCGTCAACTTTTTTTCGCATTTTGTTATTAAATATATATACAGTATGTAAAAAGTTTATAAATTAAAACGTTTTAGATTATCAACATGCTACCGTTGATTATCTCTAAACCGATACAGCTGCCATCTAGTAAGAGCAATCCTTTCACATTCACTTCTTTGTCTTCTCCGTCCAAACTGTCGCTTAAAACTTTTAAACTGTCTGTCATGCTTCCTATAAATTACCAACAATTTTGTGTTTACTTCATGAAGGAAGTTTCATAGCTCTTACTTGTTGCTCGTCTACTTTAATCTGGTGTAACGAGCGTGATCACCAATTATGGAATACAGTATTTTAAAAGAACTATATCGACAGCGTTGTCAAAAGGGCATTTTTTTGGCACTTACTGTACATAACTAACGATGGCACACACATTTATATAAACGATTTATCACTACTAGTCATGTTCAGATCGCATCGTGGTTGTTTTCCATGCTACCTCAAATTCTGGTAACGTGACAACTATTGTTGATGACGCTGCAGGTAGATGCGTAAGAAAGTTTTGCCGAGTGGACAAAGTATCGTTCTGTCACTGAATAAAACTTGTAAGTAGTTTTTATACAAAGCCAGATTACAATCAACCAATAAGCACCTGCGGTTGTAGTTAGTTTGTCGATTGTAAAATAGTATACGTCGGCAGACCACCGAAGGTAAGTATAGCGGTTGTAAATGGCTAAGCGATAGTTGGTATTGTTGCGACAGTTGTCCTTTTTGTAATTTATGCTGAGTTTATCAGAACATTTTGATCGAATGGACACTTCCACATATTCTGGTTGTATTGGTTGATAAGCTGGATATAATAAAGCTATCTGGTAAGGCCGTGAATTTAGCAGGATTGTAGTAGTGTAGTGCTGTTGTTGCTGCAATGATTTCTCTTGCAGTTGATGATTCCGTGCTTGGCTCTGAAAAAGTTGTTGCGACATTTGCAAGTTGCCTACAAAAGAGACAGCTATCCCATACCAATAAAGATAACGATATACACTAATATAGAGTGTGCCATTTATTTTGCGAAACGAGCAGGCCATCGTACTTTTAAATGGTCGGCAATAATGCTCAATTTATAACGCCGATCACTTTGTGCTTAATAAATAAGGTATTCATTGCCGACATTTAAAGTACTCACCTACTCGTTTCGCAAAATAAATGGCACACTCTATATTGGCGTAATATACACTCGATTAGTGGGAAGAACAACGGTGAGCAGCCGATTTTTCGATTTCCTTGACATAATTTAAGTTTTTATTGTTAAAATTATTCATATGCAATTATTCATTATTTTTTTATAACGATAGCAAAAAAAGTGCGCATACGTTTAAAAAGCACGTGTTAAAGCGGTCTGGTTCATTTCCCCGACAAACGTTCACCAACATTATTTCGAAATTATCCTTTTTTGGTAGCTAATTGTCAGGGAAACAAACGGATCCCGTCCGTGAAAGCATGTCACGCCTACACTGTAAACGTTTTTGATGAGACTGTAATTTGCGAATATAAAATAATACATTTATTCAGCACTTGCCATCAAAATACATTTCCGAAGTAGCTATAATTAATTAAGTTCTCATCCAAAGACACTCTTCTGCCAATTTCTATTTTGATTTGACAGCTGTACACTCTATCGAAGTTTAAGCGGATAATTGTTCAACACCAGATGCTTAAAAAATACTTTGCAGGTAAACTAATTCCCAACTTTTAACATTTACAAGCAGCGACTAATTAATTTGCGACGTTGTCGAACTGTTCGTACTATCACCAGTCAACCATCCCGGGACATCCTTGCCGAAAACAAGTTAAATGACCCTGGTCAAATTTGGAAAAGTGTAAAGTAAAGTAAGTCTCCGAATACAGTAATATGTATTTATTTTGTGTTACATAAAGTTAATTAAAATTCGTGAATGTATTTTAATGTAATAACGCTTTTTCACAATAACCGTTACTTATGAATGCTATTCATTAACAAAAGTTTTTCTGATTGCGTTCATAATAACGGAGCCCCTAAAAATAGAATTAGCATTGCATTGTTTGCTGGCTCAAAGTCAGATGACCCGTGCTCCAAATTTTCATCATCGTAGGGTGGGAATATCAGCTTTACTCCAGCTACACAATCACTGTACCGTTTTCCCACTGCATGAACTGCAAAGTTAATTACATTAGTTTTACATGCAGGTTAAAAGCGAAAATCTTCATACCGAAAATTACTTTAAAACTGTAGTTTATCCCTTTTTTTGTGCGCCACTTAAAGTTATTCACATGAGACGTTCGATTTTTTATACTCGAATAAATTGATACAATTTGAGATGATACGTATATTTATATAAAGCATATTTTTATTATGACTGACACATATTTGCATCCGTTATAGGCTTTATCGAGAGATTACTACTAATCTCCGATATGTCAAGACACATTTAATTAGTGATAATTTGGTTTCGTCAAAAATCTCCGTACTAAGCAATATCCGTAATATCGAGGGACCGTTATATCGAGTTTCACTGCGAGATGTCAAAGTTAGGTTAAGGTTCAATGTTACTAATTTAATGGGTGTAACATGATCAATATATTAATATCACTCTCGATATAAGAGAAAAGTAGAACTTCAAGTCAACAACAACACAACAACAACAACAACAACAACAACAACAACAACAACAACAACAACAACAACAACAACAACAACAACAACAACAA